TCTCTCTCTCTCTCTCTCTCTCTCTCTCTCTCTCTCTCTCTCTCTCTCTCTCTTTCTCACTTGACGTATTGCCTTATAAATGCCCAATTGTTGAACAACGAACGCGATGGGAATTACGAAGATGAATGCGAGGAGCGTGCACCGGCGTGTAAATGATTTCTACGCGAATTGGCCCAGAATCTTGAGTGAATATTTTGAAAAGAAAACAAGACCAGGGGAGAGATTTAATCTCCAGCGATGTCGGAGAAAAGCTAATATGAAAACGGCGGAAAAAAAGTGGTGATTACTGTGATCGTTCAACTGAAACATTTCCGCAAAGTTTGCACAAAGTAAGGACGTTTTTCGTTTAAGACAAACATCGATCGCAGCGGCTGTCTTCTCAAAGGAAAGCTTCGTGGACGTAATAAGGAAGATGCCCGAAACTTGAAATCAGCTTGGAAAGTAATTTCACAGGCAATCCGGAGTCCTGCGCTGCTGCGAATAATTTAGTCTAGACCGAAGACGAACATAATTATATTTAACTTATTTAACTGTCGCGATAAATTGCAAACTACGAAGGGAATTAGTTCGAAGGCGTTACACAAATTATCTCGCTTCTAATAACAAAAGATTATGGGTTCTGTTTAACTTTTCTAGTCGTTTGAAATTAACAAAAAATGTAAAAAGCATATACATATATGCATTTGTTAATTCTCTAATATTTAGAGTGTATACTATACGCACTCGTATAGAGAGAGAGAGAGAGAGAGAGAGAGAGAGTCACACTCATGCGAATAATTTAAAGGGTAATAGCTCTCATATTAATTTCAATAGTTCATTAATTCATCATTTCAGTTTATGTACATGTAGAGAAAATACCAAAAAGTATTATTAATATAAATATATTTTTGTCAAAAGTATTTAACTGAGTTTCCATTGTATTAATACATAAAAATGGAGGATGACAAGTAATTGTATTATAGCAAGAATATAATTGCCATCTACGAAATACCTTTGCAAAATTAACTGATGTTTGATACGAAATGAGAGAATCAAGTCTTTTCATACTTGGATAAGAGAACGGAACTTTCTGATACGCGCGATAACGCTACGTTTGCGGAACACAACGTTCGTGAATGCACGCATCATCCGAACAATAATTCGCTTGTTCGATTGATTTCGACGCCCCACTTCGTCCGACACGTGACGTTGCTACTGTGTATCCACGTCCGGACGCGGGATATGTTTGCGCGCAAACTTGCAACTAACTGCACAAACATTTCAGCCGCAATGTAGCCCGATCGACAATAGCGGCCCGCTAGCCACCGTCTCGCATTAATATTCGACAGAAAATATTACACGTAACTATCGATGAAGCGATGTCCATCAAGTATGGAAAATGATTCAAAGAAATCTCATAATAATTTTCATAGCTTCTGCGTTAGCCTTCCGGAACAAAAATCCAATCAATTTGCTATTGTAACAATTATTTTGTAAAAATTATTCTTTGTCATGAAGAATTCAATTTTGTGTGCGTATGTGTGAGACGAGCGGTATGCGAACAATCCTCAATAAGAATATTGAAATATGAATCGACCAGTTAGATTTGTGTGACACAAAAGTGGCACGAAATAAACAGTGTAAATGAAACAAGCGAGAGAGCCTTTAGGTCCGAGCGAGACGCTGGTAGCCGAACCATTGTAATATAAAAAGTGTAAAGTTATTGGTACTATTGGTTTCGATCGTCATTTAGATTGCTGTCAGACATCAACCGTTGGTTCGACAACACAATTTCTATTGTTCGTTTTTGACAGGTAAACCCTGCTGCTTGTAATTGTACACGCGTTTAATCGTAAACGAGATTAAGGATAAAATTTGTCGATATCCGCAAGAAGATGAAAACTTTTTCACTTAACTTGTACCCCTGATGGACAACCAGTGGACCTATGGTCTACGGATTAACCGGGTTTTTACTGGACGTATCGCGTCGGCGCAACGTTTAACAAGGAGAGGAGGCAGCTTTCCGAAGTGAATAAATTTCATAGTTCGCGTTTGGGATTCGCGGGAAAATAGAGTTTGCATTCCACCGACGCTATCACGATGCGATACGTCGATAGAATAAATGCAAAGTTATATGCAAATAAATGCATTTTCGGCGTGCCGGAACGTCCCGCATTTGTTTACGCGAACTTGCTTTAAATTCGCGCAAAGCTTCGTGTCGAATTCGATGGAATGTGGACTGAAACTCGCTCGCTATTCGAGCAATTTGCTCTCCGTTACGAGCGATGTTTGCAGCGCTCTCCTAATATCACTATGAGCTTATAAGCTCAGGCAAGTAATGCTCGTCCAATAAATGGCACCTGATGAAAGGATTGTAGCAACCTTTTGGTAACTATGGCAACGAGATGTGTGCCAATCAATAAGAAAAGAGGATTATGCTAGCCCGCGCGTCTTTCGTCCACTAGCCTCCCGCGATAGTTTCTTGTTAGACAGTGAACTTGAAAAGATCGGTGGGATTCAGATTCGGTCGGAAGTAATCATTCAACTGACAGCTCAAGATCTTTCTGCGAAAAATAAGTAAAGGTATTAAAATGTGCATTTTTTACCGTTACTAAGAATACTAAAATATTTCCTAACAACAAGTATTTTTACAACAAGAGCTAGTAACGCGACTGAGCTATATAACTTCATGAGGTGTACGAAGCGTACCATCGAAAGTTTGTCTAAACGACAGAAAACAATTC